GCCAATATAAATTATCCACAGCTCTAACATAAGTTTCTCACTGACTCCTCTGAAAGCACCATTATGGGCAGATTCCATGTGGCCCTTCCAGGTATGCCCAAAAGGGGAGCATACATACAGTAGTTTATCCCTTTGTGTCCCAGCATAGCTACAAGGACAGTGGGCTTTTAGGAGATGCAAGTGCTGCTCTGAATTTCTCTGCACTAGCACTGGCTAGCTGCACTCTGCACTAGCATTAGCACCATTTCCAAAATATTAACCTAGATCAAAGAAAGCCTAAGGAAGCAACCAGAACTGAGATGGGAAGCTGCACTTTTTCCCTTTAAAAACAGTAGTGGAAGATTTCTAGTAGTGCTCTGCAGAAAAAAAAAAAAATAGACAAAGAACCTTCCTTTATGATAGTCAGAATTTGCATTAAGCATGTTTGGGGCTGACAAACATCACTAGGTTTGGCTAGGGGACTAGGGTCCCCCAGCTAGGGACTCCTATAGCTACAAACTCTTCCAAAGCTCATTAAAAACTCTGAATCACAGGGATATATAAATACAGTGCCCTAAATGCAACATATTCCAGATTATCAGCACATGACCATGGCTGTGTTTCCTGGCAACTGAAAACCTCCAACTATTTGATAAACACACACACACACACACACACACACACACACACACACACACACATATATGGATACAGCTCTCCTGATCCGGGCAAGAGACAAATGTAATCTGTGAAAAAATGAGCTTCCCTTGCGCTCATATTGGTGAGCACATCACAAAACTTTTAATCACCAAGTCTGATATTCTACATCATTACACTGATTCTATGCAATGAAATATCCAGTTCTCCAAAGATGAAAGATCACACCTGCAAGTGCTCATTGCTGACCATCTCTCTGATAGCAATAGTCAGCAAGAATTCCCTTCAATTCTTTCCAGTTTTCCTGTTCAACTGATTTACAAAATGTTGGGAAAAAAGAGGATTTGGTCTGTCTGTGTGAGAAATGCAATGCAGATGCTTGCTTAAAGCAATCAGGACATTTGAAAGCAGAGATGGTTCCCTCAAAATAGATTCACAGTGCATTTAATTTTCACCTACCTACTGTCTTATCTTCCTCTTTTTTTAACAACCATCATTCAACTCTTTGGTTACAATAAGAATACCATTCCTGAAGCTGATGAGACTGACCACAGTTTGCAGAAGGATCCTGACATTTCCATAGATCTTTTCAACATCAATATGGCACTTGAAACTTTAGGCTATGAAGTCCAGTCTTCTGCCCTTGTAACTTCCCTTTTCTTTTGCTTTCTTGTTTGTTTGTTTCTTTTCTCCAACATTTTAGTTTTCTATTCAGTTCTGTTTTATAAGTTTCTGAGAGTAGAAAAGACAGAAATTCCTTAGCTGTTGGAAAGGCTAATTTCAGATGTGAGAAAGTAAAGAAGGCTGAATAACTTAGGGAGATAGTCACAATACTGAAGTATCCAGCATGACCATGTCTGTTCATGGGGCAGAGGAGAGCAGACCGATAATTCAATCACTTACAGATATTTTGGTTCCTTGCTTAGCTTTAGTGCCCATTCATGTGTGGATTTGCTTTCCTACATGCTAATAAAAAGCAAAAGATTTATGAAAAAATGTTAGCCTTATTGCAAACATTACAGCAAATAAAAAGAAGAAAATACCTTCTTTACTTGTACAAAGTCATAAACAATGAAGGTCTGTATGACTTGCCATTTGCATGGCTATATTTCATATAAATTAATGCTAATGATACAGGAAAATTTGGTTTGAAGTCAAACTTGTAATTTATTTTGATGACTAAACAGAAATGGCATAGAATGTTTGGGTAAAATGGTTCACTTCAGAGCTGAAAGTACAGTCAAGAGTGTTCCAGCTGCAATCCTGTGCTTAGCATAAAATGAGTACAGAGAAAATATTATCTTCCCTCAAATAAACCCATGCTCATGTCTATCAATACAGCAGGCTGGGGTATATAGCTAAGTCATATGAGATGTCTCTGGCTTCAGGGCATGGTGCAGTGTCATCTTCCCCCTGCCCACACCCATTTTGCAGGTCATTTCATCATTGTAGTGTTCATACATCGCTCAAGGATCCCAGCTGCTAGGATAGGCAACAGCCAGCAGCCAAAACCTGTTTATCTGACCGTGTACCACCAGTAAAAGTTAAACCTTCCTCAACAGCTTATAGAAAATAGTACTCTGTTTTGAATTGCATCAGTAAAGCATCAAGTTACATACTGTCAGTAGTCAGACTGTGTCCCAGGAAAATGAATTACAAATCTATCCCTTAATTCAAGAACAACCTCCAAATCAGACATTTATTTAGCTGAATTTAATATACAGACTTTCAAGAACACTGTACATTTCCCTTTTGTTGGTCACTAACTAGACAAACTGGTAATATCAACCCAAAACATTTCATTACTAAAGGAGCAGATTTTTACAATGAGCTAAATTCTTGCTGTAAGACATCTCTGAAAATGTCTTTCACAGCAAGTGAAAGTGGGCTGATGAACAGCTCTTGCTTTCAGACGACTTCAGAAAGATCTCAGACCCTGGACTATTTCTGTTGTAGCATGTTAGACCAGATTGTGATCCCAGTCATAGCAGTGATATGTGCACGACAATGCAAACTGCTATGCCAAAGTAAACATTCTGCTGCATTCAAATGAGCTATTTCAGACTCATATAAAGAGAAGTGAAACACAACTGAGACTAGGTATCTTAAATTAATGATGCGTGGCATGGTCAGAATGCAGTAATCTCTTGCAAAAACTCTTTTAGAAATTCCCGGGCTTACTAGGTACATAGTGTTAAAAAAAAGAAGGTTAATTATTTCCACATCTCTTTTCAGACTACAGGTAAGTATAGAAAAAGGAATAAACTGCTAGAAAATTCCTGAAATATGAAGCTAGATAATTACTAAGCACTATGTACAAAAGCCTTGTTTGGTATGTTTTGTATCATGAATTATCACAACTGCCATTTACAAGTGTTCTTTTAAACTGTAAGAATCCATCCATCCACAACTGAAGTATTCTTGAGGATTAAGATTAATGTGTCATGAATCACCACGGTTTAATATGCATGACACAGTTTCATTTCACACATATTCTGCATGGGTTGATTGCCATGTATACCAATATCAAACAGATGTTAATTCTTTAATTTTTTGTTCTCAGAGTATGTTTTAATTATCTATGAGGCTTTATAAAGAAAAAGAGGGAGGTTATTTTGAAGCAAATTTAGTGAAAAATAGAAAAATCCATTAGATCTGTACTTCATGTTCTCAAAAATATTATTTCAATATTAAAAAAAATGCTTGATATGCAAAGGAACTGCAGACTGCTCTCATTAAATGGCTCGTCCCTTGTAAGCAAGAAAACTTAGACTATTCTTCTAATAAAATGCATTATTTTAAAAGCCCTGTCAATTCAACACCTATTTGGTGATATGAAATGTTTCTGCAAGTCATTCTATGTTTATACTATGCGTAAATTCTTAAATTTGAGTATTTTGCAAAGAAATCAAAACTCCACGTAAAAAAATTACCATATAAATTCTGGCATCAACAGTGGTATAGGTCCCCTGTATCATCCAAATTAAGAAATCTTTATAATAAAATGAATATAAAATATTGTATATAATATTATTATATACTATATATACAATATAATAAATATTATATAATATTATAAATATATAATGAATATAAAATATTTCACAAGCTTTCACTGTACAGAGGCCAAAAATGGAAATGAAAAGACGTCCTAGTTTAAAAGCAATGCATAATGAGAAATCTGTTTCAGTCAGCGTCAGCTCCCACTTTCTGCTGTGTCAGATTCAAGCCACAATTCCCCAGGACCAGAACAGCAACAGAGCCACAGGTCAGGATGGAATAGTGTTGGATAAAAACTCTGAGCTTTAACTAATGCCTAATTTGATCAGAGCTGTTATTATAATTTCCATGGAAGTTGGAGTGTGTCTCTAGCTTTGGGCCTGATCTTCCTGAAATCAACAGGAACAGGAATGGCTCCTAAGTATTTTGTACTGGAATTAGCTTCACCAAGCTGAAAAAGTCTCCAGGCTGAAAATTACAATTACCAAAACTGTTACAAATAATAATAGGGGTAGTAGAAGTGTATATTTGAATCATACATGTCAATGTTAGATAGTATAAATACAGATAAACAATAGTAGTAGACAAAACATTGTCAAAACTGAGATATTCAGCCCCCCCTATGTCATAGATATTTTTCTGTACACAGTAATATTTTCAACACCACAAAAATTATTTAAATTTCTTGCCAATGTAACACATACTGACAAAAGATGGCATATTGCTTTAAAATCAAAATGTGAACTGACATTTTGAAAAATAACTGACAGTCATGGCACAAGAGTGCAGAGACCTCTGTCCTTCAATATTCTCTTTTTCTCTATTTTTTTTTTCCAAATGCTCAAATAAGTGCAAGGTGCCCAGAAATTAAATGTATATTACCAGTGACACCCCAATTCCAAAGAAGTCAAAATCACAACATTTTCACTGAACTTACTGGGCCAAGGAACGAATCTCAAATGTGGAATTTATACGCATCGCACAAAACACTTGTGCAGATTTCTGAAAACATACACCTATCAGATTGCAGAGAATTAAGCCTGGATTCCTTGTTCAACCAAAATTCCCTGACTGGAATAACAGCTTTAGATGTTATTTTTGTTCACATTCTGTTTTACTATGTTAAAACACCAGATTTTTTCTTTTTACTTAAGATAAATGTGTGAAAATGCCTTCTTTCCATTCATAGATGTTATCTTCCTCAAACTTCAAATGATTCATCTGGGTGAATGTAGTTATAAATAATTTATCAAGATGCATACCAGTTGTTAGGGGGAAAAAAACCCCGAAGGAAGAATATCACTGCATAAAATCTGAACATTAAAATTGATTTTTTAAAATCAATCTTTAATTGGTTGTATTACCTCCTAATCCAGGTCTGAGGCGATTATCATAACCATCCAGAAGTCTGTCTAGAATTCTTGTAAAGATGGTGATGTTATTCTTAGCTTCGTCTTCCAGGGAGTCAGCCAGCACCGATCTAAATGGATATTTTACATTTTAGAAGGTGCAAAGTATGTTTTAACATACACTCAACATGCATGTTTTTCGGACTGGCCATTACTTGCTGCATTCCAACAGGAAAGGATTATTTACAGTATGCAAATACAGAATTTCTATACAACAAGTTCAGACATACTTATACATACAGAATACTACTTAAAATACCCAAGAAGTCATTTTCCAGTAGTCTATACTTGCATGCATCATTGCATTACTGTGAGTGCTGCTTCCAGCTCCCCAAACACTGTTAGGCTGCGCTGGTGCAAAACCCTAGAAGAGCCTCCCAGGCTTTGGTGGCATGTCACTCCTGGGCTGATAACCAGGGTTCCCATGCACAAACCCATCTCCTTCCAGCTCCATCTTATCTGTGTTCACTTAGGCATATTCTATCTCTGGATAAATCCTGTGGATTTGCCTCCACCCAATGGTCATGTAATGTACATGACCAGAAGAACTAACATGAGGGAAAACTCCAGCGATCATGCTCAGGGAGTCCTCTGACGCCAGCAGTTGGTGGGAGGGAACACCAGCGCTGACTAGCAAGCTGCAGGGTAGCTGTGAACAGCCCTCATCTTTCTAAAATGCTATTTTGTCATAAAACACACTGTCTGATACTCCATCAGATGCAGACAAACCTTATAAATGCTGGATGGAAAAAGGAATCAAAAATGAAGTGTCAAGAAGAATCTGTAGAACACTGATGGTTTCAAAGTTCCCCAATAAAGAAAGAGACATTACATATGGATCAAATCTCTGTGGGACATGCTATAGGGGCTGGAATATGAACCTGCTGCCCAGCCAGCCATGGTGCCCCACAGTGCTCTGGAACCTGGGCACCCAGACCAACAGGGTTTGTGCCAGGGAAGCCCCGACACACAGAAAGCCTTACACATGCAAATGTTACCGTGCCAACACTTTTAAGCACCATGCATATGAAATACAGGAGCTCATCAGTCTTAACTTCTTAAAACCAGCACATTGCTATCAGGGAAGTAAAGCATCATGTGCTACGCACATTACCATTTATATCTTTTTCAGGTACCTAAATTTTTAACCCTAAATGTTTTTGAGTATTAATCATCTTGAAATGAAGGTATTCTGAATGCCATAATAGCAAGCATGTTTTCCTCCTCCTCCAAACCAAAAGTAGGTTTGGGTGATATTTTCTCTAAAGAAAGCTATAAAAGGATTAAAGACAAGGCTGTATGTTGGTCTCCAGCTCAATGGCATAAAGAAGAATTTAAATGTAAATCATTGCAGTCTGTGCTTTCCATCATATAAACCATAGAATCAACCCAAATCAGATAACTTATAAAGAACCCATGAAAATGTCGTGTGTGATTTTACTCATGGGTCAGTTTTTTCTTAGTTGCAATTACTGGATGGTTCCTTCTCGGTTTGTAAAATGTATCATTGTACTCATGGACTACCAGAGTACGTCTCTGCCGTTTTTAAGCTTCTTTTTGAGATGTAACAGTTTTTGAAACTCAAGATTCCACTAAAAATATTAGATCAATATAATTACATCAAATTAGTGTGGAATCTTGCAAACTTTACTCAGGCATAAAGTCTTTAATAACGCTTATAGTCTCTTTGACGTCAGTAAGATTACTCACTTGAGTAGGGTTTGCAGGATCTGGCCCACTGTGACTCAACTAATACTGCACCATAGTTAGGTATAAAGTGAAATAGAAAATATAGTTTCAGAAAATATTTTGTTCACTGAGAAACAAACAAAAATATTGGAGACATGTTAAATCATAGGAAACTTGCATTATATAGCATACAATCTTTACCACATTAGGACAAGACCTACTGCAGCCACAACCAAAGCAAGTGAATCAAAGTTACAAACTGCAATTAATTATTGTGTTTAGGGACTGTGAGCAACACAAAAGTATAATGTAATAAAAATTACTTGCTCTTATGCTGTCACTTTAGAAATTGAGAACTTTACACAACATAAGAAAAGTTGATTAATAAATGATGCTATTGTTTTATTATATGTGATTGTGAAGTTGTATGCTATCTCCACCTAGAGGTTTAAGGCTTAAGCATCATTTTGAATTCTATTATGTTTGACCAAAAAAAAAAATTAAGGGAAAAAAAAAAAAGGCATGGCCATATTAATAAATATATGAGCATTATTTTAAGAACAGTGATTTGAAGTGAGACTTCATAAAAATCTATTTCTCCATTTTGTATGGTACAGAATCACAGTCATGCAGTAACTCAAGTCTTTAAGATCCAAAAAGGCATTTAAAGAAATTGTTATTTTAATGGTGGAATAAAGCATCAATTCACAAACCGTTTAAGGACAAGAGATCAGGCTTTTATGGTCCTTAAACTACATTCTACTGCATTTGCTCTCGAAACTATGTAATACTGCATTCAAAGAGCTAAGAAAGATTTTTTTTTTATTACGTTACTACATACTTTTATAGCCCCTCACACAAGCTTACCCTTAGCAGATTGTAACATACATGTTCGCACTGAACAACGAAACTAAATATCCTCTCACCTCGTTGGTAGCCACACCAATAAAACGAGAAGAACCAACTGCATCTCGGAGAGTGCCAGTTTCCTCTTCATCGCTGCTCTTTGCAAAACCTAACGGTGCAAGAAAAACACAAACCCACTCTCAGCCACAGTCAGTCTCCGCCAAGCAGTGCTTTCAACTTAAACCCGAGGAAAATATGTCACTTCACTGGAGAAAGGAAACCACTGGATTTCCTCAGCACTTTTCGGTACTAGCAACTTATTGTATCTCCATCTTTCCCAACGATCCTGCTCTGTGCAAGGAGGCAATGTATGATCAGAAGTGGCATGTGAGCCGGCGCATCAGATGCTTTCCTGTTCCGTGATGCGAAAGCCCCGAGACGAAAAGGAACAAAAAATAAAAGCCGCATGTATGGGAGGATGGGGGTTTAACCACCCCTCGCCTCACTACGGCA